GGAATTGATTATATTATGGCTGGATCTGTGCATTATGTTGGATTTGTATATTTTTGGGTTTGAATGGAATTGTCTAAAATCTTGATTATATTTGGATGGTTGGATGTATTCATATATACAGTATTTATTGTATGTATTCATGTATTGGTGTAATTGTACAGGGAAATACAAATTGTAATATATTTTTTTTGCTGGAAAAATAGCAACCTAGACGGAATTCCGTCTAGACTGTACCAACCTAGACGGAACTTCCGTCTAGGTTGTAATAATCAACCTAGACGGAAAGCCGTCTAGGTTGTCAACCTAGACGGAAATCCTAGACCATCCTAGACGGATTTTCGTCTAGGACACCAACCTAGACGGAAATGTTACTTCCGTCTAGGTTTTGTCAAGCCTAGACGGATTTCCGTCTAGGATGGTAACCTAGACGGAACTCCGTCTAGGTTGTCAACCTAGACGGATTTCCGTCTAGGACACCAACCTAGACGGAAATCCGTCTAGGATGGTAACCTAGACGGATTTTCGTCTAGGACACCAACCTAGACGGACATGTCGATTCCGTCTAGGTTGGTTTCTGTCTAGATTGATCAATTTAGACGGAAATCCGTCTAGGTTGATCCAAACTAGACGGTAACAGAATAAACCAATCTACCTAGACGGATTTCCGTCTAGATGAACCAACCTAGACGGATTGTAGACCAACCTAGACGGAAATTTCCGTCTAGGTTGGTCGTTTTTCTACCAGTGTATTAAACATTATGTAACACTTAAAAACATCATAGGTGTATGTTATTATAATATGACATGTGTTATTTCAATCTAACATTGGTTATTTCAATATAGCTTAAGTTATCTCAGTATAATTTATTACAGAGACAAGAGTATTTCAATATAACTTAAGCTATAATTTCAATATAGCTTTAGTTACTTCAGTATTTTGTTTCTTAAGACTTGAAGTAATTAAGTAATTAATTTTAAATTATTTATTAACCCTCTGTGGATTATTTTTATGATATCATTAGGAGATTGTGAAATTATTAATATGACTAATAAAATGAATGTGAAATTGTGAGCTAGATGTAAATTTGTGATTATATATTTGAATATTCTATTGTGATACTTGTTAGTAAATCATATAGGTTATATTAAATAAATGTAGTTTTATTAAAATTTCTTATGAATAATTATATAATAATAAAATTCATAAACTGCATTATACATTATGCTTTAAATTATCAAAAGACCTTAAGCTATACGTTGTCACATTTTTCAATATTACTTAAGGCTTGATAATGTATTCTTTTTTATTTTAATTACACATGCTTTTGGATTGATTGTTAAGCACCTATAACAATTTTTTTTTTTTGAGAAATCGAGATGATATTTGATAATTGGCGATGATTCTATTTATTAAAACAAGTGTGAATAATTTCTATTTATTAATTTTAATTTTAATTACGTTATTTTGTATTTTACATAACTGAGAGAATCGCTTGTTATATTATGCGTTATTGTTATTTTCAACATTGGCTGGCTGAAACTATTTCTAACTAAACTTTAGCCACTTTATCATCACATGTACCAAAACTCCCTGTAAACTTCGATTATGAAAATGGACAACTAACATCACTGAATTATGACTCAATTTCACAAAATAACACCGTCAAATCTCCTATTTGTAACATTTAACTGTGATTACCGGAGCATTTCCAAGTAGAAACCATATGCTTAATCTTTTCTAGTTGGCAACTACTGTAAACGCTCACCAACTTCGCTGCAGAGAAACATATTTTGAGAATAAACAAGGATTCTGCATTCAAAACTTCAAACGCTTAGATTCACTGTAGACGTTCGATTTTGAGAGGGAAAAAGCTCTCCTAGATCCAACTTCTACGTGTATATAGAACTTCCAGAGATTAGTTACACACTTGGAAGTTTTTCTTTGAGCAAACAGAGATTAGTTAATTGCTGACAGTAGATCCTTCACCTAACCCAAAGCTTTTTAATCAGCAAAATTCCAAGATTCGGGATCCCTATGGACCACTTTTTGAATGTTCTTTGGTTTCTCAGTTGCTTGGATCACGCACTCATCTGCTCCATCTGCAGGCCATGCTTCTCTGCAGCTAGAAATTATAATTAATATAAGCATCGTATCATGAGAACTAAGATTCTGGTCAGAGTCGTCATATAATTTAGCGTATGTCCTTAAAGCTGTTGGTGAGTATCTCACTTGTTCTTAGAATATCAAGGGATCAAATTCAAACGTTAATTCTTGTTAATAATTAGTGCCTAAATGACCATGGCCTCCCCGTTGATCATCATCTCTATATTTTAAATCACTAGATTCTTCACAAATTGAGCCA